CATCTGACCCATGCAGCCATTGATAAATTCAGTATTTTCAAAGGAAACATTGAATTTTTTTTCTTGCACCAAATTGAAACCTTTCAGAAACTTGTTTAAACACATCAAGTACCTAACCCACCTTTTTAGTATGCATGAGCAAAATACTATTTAATTTCACACTCAACTAATCCTTTAATAATTTTCTTTCAGCCAGAATGAAAAAGGCTATTATTAATTTCCTAATAAAATTAAAAAAAAGTAGTTATCGAGGATATGACTCTAACCTTGGACCAGTTTCAATTTCTTTTTATTTTTTCTGAGCATACATCGAAGATTAATGTCAATGGCAAGTGAGAAATTGTCCCTAGAGAACTATTCAAGGTCTTTTTCTTACCACATTCGATTGGACTGGAATGAATTGACATTATAGCATCTTTATCATCACTTTTAAAATCCTACTTTCTCTTAATACCAACAGTGAAGGCTTTTATAACTATTATTTACTTTAAATTAATAAAGTATATCACAGACAAAAATATACAATTTTACATTAAAGCAACATTAAGGGTCTCATTTCGGTTGACCAAAAAAGAATGTTGAGGAAATTTACAGGTAGGGTTTAATTACCGAGATCGCTCTTCCTTTGGGGAAAAAGAATGAAACTAGGTTTCTCCCTTGTCTCCAAGGGCAAGATACTGCAAACCTTATGATCAAAACACCTGCCATTTAGAAGCTTGATCATCAACAACAACAACAAAACCAAAACTCACTCTAGCCAGAGGCATTCTAAGCTTCTACACTGAATTTCCTCTTTCCCACCAGTTTAGGACCCTTAATGTTACTGGATGGATGATTGCATATTTGAGATGATTGAAAAATAAAAGACTGGCTTAAAAGCACCTCCTCCTCAAGTATGTAATTACACACAAATTAAAAATTCCTTCCGACAGTCCTAGGAACCCCATTTGTTACTGTTTATGTATAAGCACCATTGAGCCAATTTTAAAGCACATTTGCAGTAATCAAATGTTTAGTGTCTTCAAGTTTTGTTGATTTATTTGCCTTTAAATAACAACAAAAAAAGTGTAAAGTGTGTTCATTTATGCTCTTTTCACATCTGAATTGACAAAATGTTAGTTTTGGAAGTGCTTTTAATCACTATTTTTTCCCAACAGACAAGAATGGCTTCCTGAAACCTGATGATTTAATAAAGAAATCCGTATCTCCAAAAGAAGCGTTTGTCTGACCCTCTATCACTACATGCAAAGTAAGGGTCGGTCTGAAAGGATTTTCCCCAAACTCCTAATGGAAATGGTAGAAAACACGCAGGAAAGGCTAACCTTTGAACTGACCAACTTCAAGTTTCTTGAAGATCTTTGGACCAAAAAAAAAAATCATGTAGCAGTTTAAAAAAATTAACGATTTACAAATTGCAGAAAAGATATGTTATCTACAGTATATGCCAGGTGACTCATTCGTGTTTTTTTTAAACCCACATCCAAATGAATCATTACATTGAAACTACCATCTTGGATCTTGGCACTTTCCACAATTCCGCAATTACGTGAAGAAGGGGACATACCAAATTTGTTGTAGTTGCTGCCCTTTTCTAGGGAGAATTGGGCAGAAAAGAGAAGGAAGTGAACCTTCACACTCTTTGATACAGGCCCTATATAGCAAACTTCAGCCCGGGGCACCTTTTTATGGTCAAATTAAAAACCTTTGAAAACAGAAGTTTATCATGGAAATGCTGACAGATCCTTACCCTGAGAAGGGCTAGCAGGCAACACAATAATATTAGGGAAGCTGTCCCTCAAGCACAATTGCACTTCAGCGCGGGGTACAGAGTTGTCTAATGGGCACCGTTGGCCGGCAAACAACTGTGATTTAATGTGCTCGAGCTTTGGTTATACGGTAGCTCCGTGACCCTCTAAGCTAAACCAATTTTTCTTTTCTTTTCTTTTCTTTTCTTTTTTTTCCAACTGAAATATGCCTCAAAGGGTAAAGGATTGCAATTTTAGCCTTCATTCATGGATATATTGCTTTCTTTCAACAATATCTGACGGGCCTGTTAACCACCACCCAAGGGGGTGCTGAGCATTGCAGGAAGGGCTCACTGAATACAAAACACCGAGTGTTTTCAGCAGTTTATTTGTATTTTGTTTTCTCTGCTTATGTTAATATGCACCACGTGTAAGTTAGATGAGGGCTACGGTAAAAACATTTTCAGCGACTGCAATCTTACTTTTCCTTCTAAGGATGTGGAGCAAATCACATATTCATTGATTATGACAAAGAAAATGATTTCTGCTACAATGTCGAGAAAAAAAAGTGTTCATCAATAAGAACAGTTCTCATCTACAGAGATGATTTACACGATGCAAGTCATGAAGGAGTTCTTCTTTAGTTAGTCTACTACCCAACTGAAAGGATGAATCTAAAAATTCCCTTGAAAATACCATCTGGTTGGTCATGTATCAATAAAGGAAAGACAGTCCCCATCACCAGGCCACCACCATAAGAGCTATATTAAATACTTAGAAAAAAAAATATGGCAACACTGTGGCAATGATGAGATCGATAATTACAGAGATACACTGCCATAATGGTACATATTTATTCTATGATAAAGTGAAATAAAAAATAAGATCGATTTGGTTATAGAAATTCCTTAAAGAACACCACCACTTAATTATTTCAAACTTGAACTATCCCAAGAATGTTGTGAAAAAAATTGGAAAGCACTGGCTAAAAGCAAAGCAGTCCGGATACATCAATGTAATCACATGCCTTGTGCTTGTCTGTTAACCCTCTGAGTACATCTCTGACATTCAGAATCTCAACAGCTTAATGCTGAAGATTGCATTCCATCTGATTACTCAATACTTCTACTTGACAGGTCACATTCCACTGTTTATTCAGCATAGATCACTCAAACTCTACAGCGATGCGCTGGGATCCCCATGCTAAATGCCCCTCTGCAGTGTGCTGGGAAACACTCCCCAGCTTTACAGGGTCCACGGTCCCCCTAGACTTGGATGGAAAAAGGCCTGAGCCATGCACTGGAAGTTCGGGACATAGATGCTGTAGCAATATATGTAATGCCCACAGGAAAGAGTAATTCGGAGAAAAGAAACGAAAGTGACATTCTACTGCAGGTAGGTCTCTGCCCATAGGATTCTTCATATTCACACATTTAAAGTTGAGGCCAAGCTATAGAGCTACTTCTTAGTCTTAGAATAGTGCTTTGCTTTATAGTTCTAGAGAAAGCAGTAATTTCTGACCGGTTCAAGGTATTTCACTAATATGGAATCTACCTACACACCAACACCCTTCCTGGTGTTCTGCCCTCCCCCACCCCCCCAAAAAACCAACTGATTTGTGCCACTTTGTGATGTTGTGTGCTATCATTTCAGAACTCTCTAAAAGGGTGGGGGGAGCTCTCAATAAATGATCTACTGTTTACATGTCAGGACAACGCAGACCAAAGAGATAAACCAAAATGCAGAAGGGGAAAAAAACTGGGGAAACTCTGCTGCAAAAGCCACGAGATGTTGGGATTTTTAAAATGCATATTAATAGAGACCATAGTTGATGAGTTGAAGAGTGAAAAGCAGCGACTGAAGACCAACCTGTATCTGAAAATAAAGAACTGACTATACAAATTTCAAGACTTTCAGATACTGAAGTATATTCAAAACAGAGACAGCAAGTGCTGTTTGGCCGTCCGGTTGCAAATTTCACGAGACGTCACTCACTGGTTGTTTCCTGGATCAGAGAGCTGAGCAAACCTTAGCAGGACATTTGAGTCGGACCCCAGCCTCCAAGATGCCATGACCAGCCTCTTCTCTAAGCACTGCGGTGACAGGGCCACAGCCCGTGCCCCGCCCCCCGTTCTGAAATGGGACATATTCTAGAAGAAACTCACAGGGGATACAGGGCTAGGCAGAAAGGTTTGGTTACAGGAGTGAAAACACAGGTCTCAGACAGGACTTGGCCCAAAGGGAGAAAAACAACATGTCTCTCTGGACAGCTTAAGACAGTGGTATCAAAAGGTCATCTTAGGGAACGGAAGTTTTATTCTCAGGGATATCTTCTAGGTCTTCCATCCTGTTCTTCCTGGGAGACTGTACAGAGGTAACCTAAAGGTGCACATGGAATTCTCTTACCAATGGTTTATTTTCTCAAAACCCATCTTTAGAACATTCTGGAGTGTGCCTTCCCTTGCGCTTTCTCCTCAGCCACCTTGCAAAGCACTTGCCTCTAGGCCCCTAGGCCCCAGCACTCCTTGGTACGGGTTTCGTACTCTATATGGATTTCACACTGAAGACTGCAGCGCATGAAAAGCGGGTGAGAAAAAGAACAGGATCTTGTTTCCTCTTTCTGTTTGAAATCCCAGCCCTATAGAGCACCTGGCAATTTATTGCTCTTTTCCACCAGTTGTGTCTTGTTTTGTTTTTTTTTTTTCCCTATAGATGTCTCGTACTGAGCAGGCAGACCCTCACTCACCACGCACAAGACAAGGTATGGTGACTTCTGAGGGCCTGCGCTGTCACTAGCAGCAGCTGAAGTGGAAGCAGCATTTCTGGGGCGTCATCAGCCCATCTTCATGGGGAGGCGATGTGGGAGAGGGGGCGCCAGGTCTTTCCTGGGTCAGGCTGTTTGCCACAGACCCAATCGCCTCCACTTGGGATGCAGGACTCGAGGCCGCAGACAGTCATACCTCTAGTGAAAAAAGTCCCTTTCAAAATGGGATTGTGAAGAAGAAAGAGAGGTCTTATGTCTAAGTTATAAGCCTGCTATTTTCTAAACCCACAAAAAAGTGACAAGCAAGATATCGTTCTAGATGTCCTTCTTGTCTGGACATCTCAGCATCTAATAACATCCCTTGATCTGCAGCAAAATCAAGAAACGTGTGTGTATACATCCAAAGGCCTGAAAAATTCCCCAGGGGTTCTCCATAAAATCCTATGCACTCAGAGGGTTAACGTGCTATCTTACAATACTGCAGATCCTAGTTTGACTGATGAACACATTCATTGCTTCTATGTTTAAAAAAGTTGCAAATTAGCCTTAACCCTTTGAGGACCCTATTAGCAGCAAGTTGCCATCTTCGCAAACAACATGTGGTCATCTCATTCAGCAAAGAGAAATCGCTACCAAGATACCAGAAAACACACTTTGTGTTCCGCCATTCAAGCATTGAGTGCTAGATAGATCAGATGAAACTGTTTTACATAAATTTGGGAAAAAAAATCTCAGAGTCTCAAAGGGTTAAGCTAGGACTTCGAGTAAAAGGGTCTTATTAAAAGGGCGAGTTTGGGGAGCGAACAGTCTCGGATGAGCTTGGGGAGTAGTCTTCCGATTCCGAGTTGAGTTCAGGTGGCGCTGGCTGGGCCTTGTACCGGCTCCTCACATCCTGGTTGCGTCTTCGTCGGAAAACCTGCCTCTCCTTATCAAGAGCGGTGGTCTAGCAGGGGCATAAAATGAGAAAGAGGACAATTAGGCTGAAGGAAATGGTGAAAGACTCACTCTCGGGAACCTTCTGAGGTCCGAAAAATAGGCTGGCCAACTTAACTGTCCATGATGGCTCACTTGTGTTGACACCACAGTTGGGGGAGCTCTCTGCTCCCTTCCAGAGCAGCTCTTAAGAGCACCTGGTCATGACCTCAGGAGGCACAGGCAGGATGGATGATGTTGTGGGTCCAACCTCTCCCCAGCCCTCCCCGGCCTTCCCCAAGCTCCACATCTATTCCCCTTGGTCGCTCCCAGGCGAGTTAGAGAGCCCCTGGGGAATGGGAGCCCCGGGCCCGTGTGTGTGACACGTGAGGACGCCAGGCGTGCCTCATTCATCAACATTCAGCTCCAGGCGGCTGTATAATAAAGATGAAAGGTGATGAAGTTGTCAGGCATGGAAACAGAGCCACAAGCTCATCCCGTTATGTTAGCACCTCCTCATCTGAAATTATCCTATTATCTGTTGATGAGGAAGTGTGGCTGAATCTCTGGGAAGGACTGGTTTAACTTTAATGAAACCAATGCCCTGAAATTGGAAACTGCTTTGAATGCAATTAAACCAAATGGAAACCCTCCCCTGGATTTAACTTTACAAAGTTCATTTTCATTGTCGTATGTGGTAATTTATGAAACAGAGATTCAATTTTGTAGGTATTCCAACTCCGGGATCTCTCTGCCTCATTTTCCTGATGAAACCTCAGATGATCTCCAGGATGTGCTACCCAGCCATGGCTCTGGAAGTTATTATGACATCAGATTTGGGAATGGCATGACTTCATTACAGATTTAATGGGTGTGGGGAGGAACGGGGTCATTACGGAGAAACCTTACACAGAGAGAAGAGTAGGTACAAAGCGTAAAGAAAAATATAGAACACATATAAAAGTTGAAGGCGTCCTTGTTTGAAAGTCTCTCTTTAAAAGGATGTAGCCTGGAGGTTATTCTGCTTTTAAGAGATTACTTTTCCTCTGTAGGGATATATACCACCATTTTTCCTCTTGAAAATTTACTGTTAGCTTCTTCAAAGAACAGAGATAAATTTATAGCCAGCCTGGTTCTGAGAACAAAGTGAAAACTAAGCCCCTCATACAATTGCAGTATAGCATTAGAGCAATCTTAGATCTAAAATAGGGCAATCAAAGTTCCAAAATGAAGTAATAAAGAGAAAAAGAGTGCCAGTGTGTAGAACCAGTACAGTAAATGGCTTTGTTAGGGTGAACTGCTCTGCTTTAAAAACTATCCCCATACTGAAGAACAGCGTTACAAATCAATGAGGAAGATAAACTTTAATAATTCACTTCTCGTTTCACTAGATTGTTAATACAATGATTCAATAACTGGTTTGTTGAAATGTCTACGTTTGATTCTTCTACTTGCAGAATTTTTTAAGGACACACACACACACACATATATATATGTAGTTCTTGGTCTTCTACCCTCCGATTTTATGATATTTTCAGCATCATAAACCCAAATTCCTAACTTTATTTAAAACATCGTAAAGTTACGACACATGGTATTTTGCTTTCAAAGCAAACTGAAAATGTTCTGTTTGTGGAGTTGAATGTTTGTAAAAAAACAGACGTCTATTTAGTCTGACTTACATAAAAACCATTCTGTAGTTAATCCAAGAGTAATATAAACTCTCCTCTTGGTCATAAAAAATACTTCTATTTCTACCTTCTTGAGAAAGAAAAAGTCATTGGCATAGGATGAAATACTGAGTAGTGGACTGAGGCTTTCTGGTGTGGGGAAGAAAAGCACACCAGGATTGTAATCAGGAATTGTGACCCTGCTCTGTCCATTGCTGGCTGTGGGAACTATTTACTCAGTTCTCAGTTAAATAAGGAACAGGAATAATCCCTTCTCGCTGTCCTAGAGTTGCTGTAGGTAAAAATGGATGTGTAAATGCTTTTTAAATAGCTGAGATGCTCAGAAATGGAAGGTGTTCATTGTTGTTGTTGTTGTTTTTCCCCCTTCACAACTGGATGTAAGAGACAGTTTTAAAGTTAAGTAACTGCAGGTCAGAGGAAAACATGCAAAACAAAGCTCACAGCAGAACTTAGAGCACCCTCCCTCCCTCCTTCCTCTTGTTGGCACCTTCTCCATATTTACTGTGTCTCCCCATAACCTACTCAATTCCTGCAAGCGCTGCTCTTGGCTGCAGCCCCTGAAACAGGCCATTTCTCCATAAAGACTGCAAGACACTTTATGCAGGGGCTGGTGGCACTCAATGCTGAGCCCATGCTTGGATGGTTCCAGTCCCCTGATTTTCACTTTCATTTCTCCAGGTCCTTATAAGGGCAACCACATTCTCTCCCTTACTTGTCTCTCTGCCTGGACAACACTTGCCCTGACCCCTTTGACCGATCAGTTCTCACCACCCCTGCCCCTTTCTCTAGTTAGCAGCTTTCTAAATGTTCGCCGCCTCAGTGGATGAACCTTCGGGCTCCAATACTCCCCTGCTTTCAGTTGCGCTACTAACCAGTAACTTCAGAGCAGTTATCTTTGGAAATAGATCATGTCATGATCACATGTCACAGAATGAGGGTGTGAAGCTTGCTTCTGTTGGATTTATAGGCTCTTAGAATTGAAAGAGAATTTATAAAGCATTCTTTGTCCAATGCTCTGCCTTTGCAAGCAGGGAAACTGAGGCCCAGACACGTGGAGAGACTTGCCTGAATTGCATTGCTAAAGTAGGAAGAGAATTTAGTTCTCCTCCTGCAGAAGGCCTGAGAGATTTTTTCCCATTTACTCTGAAGTCTATTGAAACAGAATAAAATAGAGTCACCATATGCCAGTAGCTCACTCCTTTGTTCCCAACCAGAGTGAGCTGGGGAGAAGACACTGACCATCAAACGCCCAAAGACCAGGGCTTTCCTGTGCTGATGACCCGAGAACCCCTCTCCTTCAGGGACAGCAAGCCAGGGTCCACTGGGTGTACAACCCCATTCTGGGTCTGTTAACTCCAAGGGAGCCCTGGGTCTGATGACAGAGAGGCAGTTTCCTACACACCCATGTCCTCCTAATATTCGCAAAGGCTACACAACTAATGACTGGGGCTCCCAACCAACTTGCTTGCAAAGATGCTCCAGAGGGGGTCCCTGTCTATAGGCCTCTCTTCCCTTGGTTCCTGCTCACTCCGCTTCCAGCTCCATGACTGTGGTTCATTTTAAGAATGTCTTCCTTCTCTTGTTCCATGAAACCTAGTATTGCTGTCCCTGTGCACCCTGCCTACACCACAACTGCCCCCAATTCACTGTCTTCTCTGCCACGCTGTAGACTCTTTGAAGGGCAAGATCAAGTCTTGGGCACCCTCTCGGTGTTATCCATAGTTTACAGCACACAATAGATACTCTGCAAACACGGCAGCTTTTGAAATATGGGGAAATACCACAGAGGTCACATTATTTCCCTCTTGGGCACCCATCCCCCAGTCCATCCTGCACACAGCTGACAGGTCAATTATCCCCAGGTCCAATTTATTTACAATTCCTCATAAAGCCCAATTCCTTGTCCTAACATTCACAATGTGCTTACAGGAAAAACTCCCAGTGTCTTGATCCTGTAATTACTCAAAATGACCTGCAGACTTATTCTCCATTAGCGGACACTTGATTTTCTTACACAGCATCCATTTACTCTGTTTACAGTTAACCATACCTCAGTTTCCTTTTGGACATGCCCCATTCCTATACTGTGTGGTTCCAGTGAAGATGACCATAGTCTCATCTTTGAGAGTGGGACAAAGATGGGATGGGTTTGTGACCCAGGAGCAAGCATGAGCTTACTGCATTCCCCAGTACCCACAACTGGTTCAGGATGGGCATCCAACCCAGTTAATAGGACACAAGGAGATTTTCACTGGGACTTCACTTTTATAATGAATCCCCATTTTGGAAGGATGGTAGGCTTGGCTTTGCTTCCCACATCCGGGTACCATGTGAAGCTCCAGACTAAAACCAATATAGGGAGGCAGAGTGGAGAGATGGAAAGAAACCAGGCCATGACTGAGTGCTGAATCCATCCATCACTGAAGCCAGACCGAACCTTGGAACCTTCCAGATTAGATGAAATTATAAATTTCCTAACTGCCTAAGCCAGTTTGGTTTGGGTGTCCGTCGCCTGCAATCAAAAAAGTCCTAACTGATGTGTCTCTGAGTACACTTCAATCCTTCTCACCCTACATCTTGGTTCAAGGTGCTCACCTATCTGAAATTACTTCTCCTCCTTCCCATCCATTCAAATTTATCTATGTTCCAAGATTTGATCAAATTTCACCTCCCGCATCACATTTTCTCTTTCTAAATTTCTCAGGCAAATATTGTCTTGACCAAACTTTCGGCACTTTTTGCACATTGCCTCCTAATTATCTTTCTGTGCATATGTCCCAAATACCATGCAAGCTCCTCGATGGTAGAATCTGAAACTTCTTTGCATTTTCCAGAGAATGCCTAGCAGACTGTGGCACACATACTAGAGACATATTAAATATTTCTTTTTTTAAAATATTTCTTAATTAATACAGGATTAAACTTTTTCAGATGTACTTTCTGAATAACAAAAACACAGAAGCCAAAGCAACTGTATAGTACAAAAAAAAGTAAGAACTTAAAGAGATCACAAGCCAATATTTAAGGATATGATGTATGTGACCAAATGGTTACATCACATAAAGTTAATATTCTCTTATATATTTATCTATTCAACAACCATTTATTGTGAAATTCTCAGCACGGTAAGCTGTCATATATCATACTTTTAGAATTTTAATTGTGGCTATAAAATGAACTTGCCTCTAAAGTATGTACAGTTCCAATTTTACACTTGAATTCTGTAGTCTGCATTTGTAGTTCAGGATAGATGAATTCAGCAAGGAAATAGAACAGTGTGCTATTCCATAACTTTAAAAAGGTATTGCTATAAAAATATATATAATCCCACTGATAATTT